AAGCCCTGGAATACTGGTATTCTTTCAGTTATAGATATTGAAAATAAGGTGAAAGTGAGAAAATAAAAAAGAAACAAAACAAATAACGCCACTGAACCCAAATGTGTCCTCTTAGTTTTTATATGTAATATTGATAATGATGAAATCTGGTAATAGCAAACTGTATGTTTTCTATGGGTACTATTCTGACTTATAACACCCTGCATGTACCTCTTTACCATGAACATACTGTAAAAAATACATATGAGGCCAAAACCTGTCCAAAATGATCACAAGACAATGTCTCAGGCATCAGGCTGCATATGCGTATGTTCTAGTGATGCAGGTTTTAGAGGCATTAAACTCAGAAATCTGATTCCTATCACCACCACTCTGAACAATTCTGATTTGGCTAGTTTGTCTAGAAGTAAGCATTTTCACATCAAAACACAAAAAACAGTGGAATTCCCACTTAACTTTAAAGTGTTTAATGAACAGCATAACAGGCAGTATTAGCCCTATAGCTTGCGTTAAATGGCTACATCAAACTTATGAAAAAGTGACAGTATTCCACAGTAACACACATATCTAGAAAATAAAATGAACATTATGTACTTCTGCTTCATACTTTAATTACATGTACAGCATAAATAACTGTTATTTTTACTTCCTAATAACACTAATAGTAATCTAAGGAATCAATCAGCTTAAAAATCTAAATCATCAAACTTTTTCTACTTACTTCAGATGTAGTTGATCGGTCAAGACATGTTTGGTGTCCAAATTTTGCTTCTCTAGTTTAGCATTAGAGCTATGAGGCTAACATTGCTAACAGACAGTAGAAGTCAATAGTCTCAAATATTTTTTGTAAATACATCCTTAACACTGCAGTAAGTATGTCCTAAACCACATCAACAAGTCAGGAAGTCCAACCTTAGTAAACAAAAAGAAGAAAAGGATGTATTTACATGTCTTGGCTGATTTACTACATCTAGGGTAAGTGGAAATTGTGTAAATTTGATTTGTCACTGAATTATTCCTTTTAAAAAGTATTATGCGATTTCATGAAAGCAGTACCGATAATGAGAGACACACTATACATTTTTATACAGATTTTGTGTTTGTTATGAAGGTCTTGGATTATCAGTCACATAACCGAAGTGGAGAGATGGTAAACATTTCATCTTACTTGTTTCATTCTGTGCCCCTTTTAGATGTCTGTGGGATCTGACAGGGATCTTAGTAAAGACCTCGAGACATGTGAGATTAAGAAACATGGCCCAATATCTTGAAGACCTCAGGCTTTCATCAATTAGAGGCTGATTTGAAGTCTTGCAAAGGCCATGTGCAAGAGTGGAGAGAGAGATGAGAAAATATTGCATAATTTGTGTTTGGTGCATCAAACGCTGGAAGACATTTAAAGCAGCTCATTCATCCACGTTGTAGCGTGTATGGACAGACTGAGTCACATTGTTTCTGCCAAACCTTCACGTGGAGCATTCTATCACAACACCTAAAACATGACTCGAAACTTTATATTAGCTTCCAGTGTGGAAAATGCACGTAAAACTCCCTTTACTGTGAAAATATATGTGATATAAACTGTGAAAGCTGAAATGAGCTGAAACTTTTTCAAAATAAGACCTTTGGCAAATATTTTTGTACACTTGTGAGTAGGTGTTCATTAATTTATTTATTTATGTAAGTGTGGTAGAACTCAGGTATGGATGTCTATGTCACTGTAAAAGTGTGGTAGACCTCAGCTATGGAGGTCTATGTCATTCCATACAAGTGGTAGAAATTAGGTATGGATGTCTATGTTACTGTAAAAGTGTGGTAGAACTCAGGTATAGATATCTATGTTACTGTATAAGTGGGGTAGAACTCAGGTATGGATGTCTATGTCACTGTAAAAGTGTGGTAGAACTCAGGTATGGAGGTCTATGTTACTGTACAAGTGTGGTAGAACCCAGGTATGGAGGTCTATGTTACTGTATAAGTGTGGTAGAACTCAGGTATGGAGGTCTATGTCACTGTATAAGTGTGGTAGAACTCAGGTATGGAGGTCTATGTCACTGTGTAAGTGTGGTAGAACTCAGGTATGGATGTCTATGTTACTGTACAAGTGTGGTAGAACTCAGGTATGGAGGTCTATGTTACTGTATAAGTGTGGTAGAACTCAGGTATGGATGTCTATGTTACTGTATAAGTGTGGTAGAACTCAGGTATGGAGGTCTATGTTACTGTATAAGTGTGGTAGAACTCAGGTATGGAGGTCTATGTTACTGTATAAGTGTGGTAGAACTCAGGTATGGAGGTCTATGTTACTGTGTAAGTGTGGTAGAACTCAGGTATGGAGGTCTATGTTACTGTATAAGTGTGGTAGAACTCAGGTATGGAGATCTATGTTACTGTGTAAGTGTGGTAGAACTCAGGTATGGAGATCTATGTTACTGTGTAAGTGTGGTAGAACTCAGGTATGGAGGTCTATGTTACTGTGTAAGTGTGGTAGAACTCAGGTATGGAGGTCTATGTTACTGTATAAGTGTGGTAGAACTCAGGTATGGAGGTCTATGTTACTGTGTAAGTGTGGTAGAACTCAGGTATGGAGGTCTATGTTACTGTGTAAGTGGGGTAGAACTCAGGTATGGAGGTCTATGTTACTGTATAAGTGTGGTAGAACTCAGGTATGGAGGTCTATGTCAGTCCATACAAGTGGTAGAAATTAGGTATGGAGGTCTGTGTTACTGTATAAGTGTGAAACTGCTGTCGTCAGTTGCTGTGCAGTATTTGTTTTTTAAGTTGAACTGTCAAGGGCACTGCCATCCCAATGTGGCCTTGTCATCTACATACACATGCAGAGCCTGAGCGTGGAGTGGCATGTGGGGGTAAACTGAATGCAAATGCCCCAAACCTGCACACACATGAAACTACAAATACAAGAGATCTGCCAAAAGTGGATGGCCACGCAGAGTCCTGGGGACATGCATGCACACAAAAAAGATCATGCACACGCACATTCAGTGACGCCGGCACTACGCGTCATAGGGCAAGGATGACATATGGTTCACGACACTTAGACCCTTCTTCAGACAACGTTCTTATTCTGTCTTTACGTTTAGATTACTCACCATGAGTAAAAAGATCTAAGATGAAAACATTCTCACATTGAAATCAAATGGAAATTATTCTGGAATGTTTGGATATTGGCTAAAAATGAACAATAGTGATAAGTTCCAATTAGTAAACAATAACAACTAGACAATAATTTTTAGTACTAAAACATTCAGTCCTAAAGATGGGTTTCATTGAAGAAAGATCACTTTAATGTCAGAATTCTCAAAAATCCTGATGTTTATACCAAAATGTTGGCACCAAATTTTGCACCAAAATTACATGGCCAAATTTTGTAGAAAAAAAGACATTAACTAAAATATACATAGTAAATGTGCAAAAAGTCAGCTTTCATTTATTTAATTTCCAGTCAAAACAGCCATTAAGTGCAAGTTCTTCATATTTCCGGAGACATTTCTGAGCAGATTAGATATAAGATAATCCACTTGCATAAGGAAGGAGAAAGGAAAATAGGTGAAAAAACTGTACTAAAGACTAAACTAAGACTGTAAAACAGGACTCAAAAACTAAATGGTCAAAAACTTATTAAAAAATACAGAGAAATAACAGTCCTAACAACCACAAAAGGCCTGGTAGACCACTAAGTCTGCCACCATTAGACAAACAGTACTTAAAACTTTCATCTTTGAGAGGCAGAAGCTCCATTCTTGCTTCAGATCTGAAAAAATCCACAGGTATGAAAGAATGTGCAGCTGTTATGAAGAAAAGAAAACAGACAAGAAAGAAGAAAATTTGCAAATCAAGCAATGAAGCTGCTGGTGTTCTCAGAGGAATGGACAGACCACCCCAGATTCCAGACCTCAACATCACTGAATGTGTTTATGATTATTTGAATCATGAGAAGCAAAAAATGCACCCTACTTCTAAGACCTTACCCAAAGCATCAACTAAATATACTAAATGTTTTTTTTTTCAGTATTTACTGTGTCGATCCTTTGCTTTTTCAGAAGACTTGCTTTCAGTTTCTCAAAGAAATCTGCAGGGATACTGTGGAAAGTATTTGCTAAATGTAACTTTTATAAGTATTTAAGTCTGTTTTGACTGGAAATTAAATAAATGAAGGATGTTCTCTGACTTTTGCACTGTATGAAATATATCGCTTTGTGTAGTCTGCTTATTTCAGATGTCATGCCCATTATTACATATTCATTATTAAAAAAACATTTATTTAACCTTTAGAGCAGCAGCCTAGCATTTCATTATTTTAAGTAAGTTATTATGCATAAAACACTCACCTTATATCTATGTAATCGATATCATTTATGTAATGTAACTATGAGTGTGTTAATTGCCTGTAAGCAAGTGCATTCATTTTTTCTTTAAGACGCAAAATTGTCATTTAATTGCAAATTGCTGGACTGGTCACCAAGCTACTATGTGGTAGGCTTATGTTTTTATGTGATAACCTTTAGCCATTATGGACTAATCCAAAAGAGTATGAATTTAGCAGAAGTTTGCAGAGTATAAAACTACTGAGATGTAATTCTTTGGACTAGATCAATATCTAGAATGAGCTTGAATGGTGATAGCTCTGGGTCGTGACAGATGTCATCGCAAGTGGATATCATACATGTTACTGTGATGCAAGAGATGTTCTGGGGCAGAGGTCTGAGAGTTGCTGAAATGATGTTGATGCCCTCCAGCATGAAGCTGAAGGGTGTGGAAAAAAATGTTAGTCACAAGCTGATTCAAGAAGAAGACATGTCAGATTATGACGCCGACAGGAGCATGCATGCATACGTTATCTGCCCACCCCTCCCTTTGCTCTGACCCGAGTATATCTTTAATGACCAGAGTCACCACAGACGACACTTGCCTTGAACCCGGGCCACTTTAAATAGCTGCCCAACCCTCGGCTGCACCACAACCACCACGCCAGTCTCAGAATGTCTAGGAACCGAAAGCAAGGTACTTCTAAGATCTGACAGAGCACGCAGAGAAAGGGAACACTGGCTGGATGAAATGCTTTTTCCAAGCCAAGCTCACTCATCCGCCTATGGATGCTTATATTATTCCTTTTTCTCTAAGCTTTAGGACTTTTTCCTCACTCTTTTCCATCTCTTTATGCGCTCTTTACATTTGTTTTCTAGCTGCTTAATCTCATCCCTCTCCCTCTTTTTAATCTGTTTCCAACTCTGGAACCTCAAGAGGGACTCACTGGTTTCTTCTCTTCCCATCTTTCTTCTCCTCTTATCTGTCTGCCTTCACTCTGTAGCCGTGCTCTTTGTGGCGCTGCTGTGCCTGGACCTGCGCACCCACGTGGGCTCCGCTCCGATCTGTCCCCATGGACACACCGGCTGCCACATCCTGTCTCTGGCCGATCTCTTCGACAGGGTCATCCAGCACTCAGCCAGACTGCACGGGCTCTCCAGTGATTTGCACTCAGAGTTTGTAAGTATTTATCACTTTTTCTTGGATCCTTTTGATTTGAACTGGCTTCTAGTCATTGATAAGCTATTACGTTATTAAGAGCACTCCAGCAGTTGTTGTAGTCAAGCCTGGCACTTAAAGTGCAATCAGCAGTAAAAAGCTGGACAATGTTGGCTGAAGGACTGTTGTTATTATTAAACATACTTATTGAGATTAAAAATGAAATGTAGCATGATTGGAAATCAAAATCAATTTAGTTTTATTCACACATGCTGTCCACTGCATAGGTCACAGTCTCTTATGGTGTAATCCATCCATTCCGCACAGACTGTAAATACCAGATTGCACTAATAGTATGTAGCTAATTATTGACACCAGGTGCAAAATTCATCAGAGGCAAATAAAGAGGAAGGAAAAGAATAAGAAAGAAGCCATTGTTCAAATAGTAATATAATAAGTGATAATATGAAACCTTTACTCTGTTTTTGCCTAAATAAATATAACAAACAACCATAATATGGGAAGAACAAAGAATACCAACTCCAATTGTGTTTGTTTTTCACTTCAGTTTAAACATTTAAAGTATTTCTGGAACAACAAGAATGACATGTTAAAAAAGAAACTAATTATTTATAATAATTTCTTTGAACAAAATAATAAATAAATAATAAATAATTACACACAGCTCTGTTCATTGAAAATGTATTGAATACATTTTTACATTTGAAACCTCTAGACTATTAGCATCGTATAATCAAATGACATGTTTTGTTGATTTTCCTACTGAAAGTAGGTTAGCACATCTCCTACAGGGAAGAAACTTAAATATGCAATTTTTCTGCAAAGTCTGCACAACCCTCTTAACATTCTGTGTTCTTTTTCCTCTCTCTTAATTCATAAGGAACAGTACTTCCTCCCCAGCAAAAACCACATTGGCAGAGTCTATCGCAAGTGCCACACATCCAGCATACTGACTCCTAATGGCAAGGAGAACGCACAGAAACTAGCCGTGAGTTCACTGTTCAGACAGATCCTCTCTGCCTCTTTGCTGTATTTGCTTTTTTCAGTCAGTCTTGTCTACCTAACAGTGAGTCATGCTTGGGCTGTGTCGCAAGCCGATCCTCAGTCTGCTGTGTGAGAAATGTCATGATGTTCTGTGACAGTCTATGGCCTCTCTGCTGCTTTGTCTATCTCTAAAGGCTGAAAATGTCCAAATAACTGTGAAGCGCGATGGTCCAGTTGCTTCGGCTGCTCATTTTTAGAATATGTCACAACCTTATTGCTCAACGTCCATACTGAATACAGACAACCTGTTCTGTTTGTATTAAGTTACTCATGAAATATTTTCCTGAACTGAATGTTCAAACTCTCCATCATTTCCTTCTCTCTCAGCGTGAGGAGTTGACAGAGGTGATTCTGAAGCTGCTAACGGCCTGGAGGGATCCCCTGTCCCAGCTGCACCAAAGCATGGCCCACCAGCAGGACTATAACAGCTTCAGCAGCAACAAAGCTCTGGAGATGAGTGACATGGTGCATGAGCTCAGGAAAGGAGTGGAGAAAGTTACAGAGAAGGTACCAGACTCACAAAGTCTCATTACATTGCATGTGTGTTATTGCTGAGTTTGTAATCACTATTTTCTATCCGCTTTACTGTTCAAGATCACTGTATTTCAAGATTTTGGCTGGATGGGAAAAGAAGAGTTATTCATTTTTGTTTTTAGCCAGATCAGACAAAGAGTGACTGCTTTAAAAATGATCTGGTTATTGTTTCATGTCCCATTAAATGTCTCTAAGACATTCTGGGACAATGTACTGTTCGCAGCTGTAACTATGAAAGTATGAAAGGTGAAAGTACCGCAAAACAGCAATGTTACGAGCATAAACCTCTCAAAAAAGCGCTATGCTTTAGAAGACAATGTGGCTTCAGAATGACTCCTTAAAAAAGCTAGTTGTTATCGCTGAAATCATTAAATCTGACAAGATGACCAATTGGAAGTTGAACTTAAGTGGTTGCAGCTAGCAGACTCTCTTTAACTTTATATTCTCTTTATAACTGTTTATATTCTGCTCTCCCCAGAGTAGGATGAGCATGTCAGCGGAAAGCAAGCAAGCAAGCAAAGTTATAAGTTATAAGTTATAATAAAGTTAGTATCTAGAGTACCAAGTATTTGAAAAATGCCAAGTTTTAAGCCTGAGCCTGACCACAATCTGACAAAATCTTGTGTGAGCGCAGCTTGAAACATCACTAACCAGAGATCAAGTTAAACTCCACACTCTTAATGATAGCACCTGTTAATTAGCAGCAGTGACAGCCAACATCATATTTGCCACATATTAGTTTTCAAGAAAGCACATTTTAGACCGGAAGTGGTAACTGTACCACTGCTGCAGTATGCTCTTTTGTTAGTCAGCAAAGGTTTTTTTACAGGCCACGTACTAAGCAGTAGTCATGGACAGGGGTCTTGCTGTGAGTGACATTCTTTAGAGGCGTGCTCAAAGTACGTTTGTAGTGTTAGTCATTACTGGCATATGTCAAAGTAACATTTCACTTTGCTGGCTGTGCAGCTTCTGGCATTTAAGGCTAAACACATAAGTGAAAATAAAGCAACCTGAACAATTTATTTCAAGTTTGGATTGGTCATCTTTATTAAACAAACAAACCTTTGATATGAAAATTATTTCACTTCTTTTGTAGTAAATGCATATAGTGATAAGAAATAAGGAATGTGCAAAATAATTCAGTCCCTGGTCAAATTACGTTTTGTTGATTTTCTAAGTGAAAATAAGTTAACACATCCTGATTCTGGAGAACTACAACCCTGGAAAGTTGTAGTTCTAATGCTCAGAAGATCCCATAGGACTTTATTACCTGGATGTGGTGTGTTAGGGTAAAGGTTGGAGCTAAGCTCTGCAAGGTAGTAGATCTCCAGGACCAGGATTGGACACCCCTGCTCTATTAGGAAAAGACTTCTGCATGTTTAAATGCACAAATATTTTTTTATTTACTGTGCAAAAGTTATGGCACATTTTTTATTTTGTGTTTAATATTTTTTCCAATATGTTCAGCCCTTAAATGGCCAGGGCCTGCCAGTGCGTCCAGAGTTTTATTACACACTTCTACAACCTAAGAATAGCTCCACCAGTTTGCATTGGAGTCCCTGTAGTCAGAGAATAATAAATCTTAGTATGTAATAAGCCTGGGATTTTAAGGGGTTAAACTCTTAAATAGTAAATAGAAATTGTGCACTAAAATTAGCAGAAAAATGAGAAGTTCTGGTTCCAATGTTCACATTACCCTGCAGGATATTACCCTGTAGCACTACCTGGATCTGGTGTGTTAGATTAGGATCTGTGCTAAACTCTGCACACTGTTAGAAATAAAGGTACTGTGCAGGTACATTTTTCATTCATCAAGGTACAAACAACGTAAATGTAATTGCATATGACTGTATATGTATGTCTGTTAATTATATGCAAACTGAGAATCTGCACCCTCCACCAAATGCAGATGCAGCTGCTGGGGATGATCAGTAACTCAGTGAATGGCCTCTCATCTTCTGAAGCCCTGCTTCCTGCCTCTGAAAGTGGAGAGGCTATGAGCGATTATGAGCTCGTCTACTGCTTCCGCCGCGATTCGGACAAAGTCCAGAACTACCTGAAGATCCTCAAATGCAGAATTGTACCTGAGCACGGCTGCTGAGGACCATCTATCTGCACTGCTGGACTGCACATGTGCTTGTTGCACTTCACGTATCAAGTCAATTCTTGATCTTCCACCAATTATGTGTACATTTGATTCTTATAGATCAAAGGAAGGAAACCGGGAACCTGTTTTTTAAGGCTTAATGTGATAATCTAAAGCACTTGAGGTCGATTAGTTTTACCTCAGGAGCTTCTGTAATGTAGTTTGTAACGGCTGACTGAAAGTATCTGTGTAATTTCTCCAAATTACTACAGCACAGATGGAAATATGTCATAGCCTGGATGTACCTGTTAGCGTTACATGATGGACTTGCACGCTTGCTCTGAACTAGTTTAAGAAATGAAAACAAAAACAGTCAGAAAAAGCTTGTTTGTTGTTGCGCTGCTCTTTTGAGAATGAGAGAAAACAACTTTGCAAATCTACTGTTTTCTTATACCCTCTTGAAACGTGAAGGTTTACAGTGGTCCTGTGTTGGACTTATGGTTCCAAAAAGAATTTGTAATTGGTATTGAACCTTTATATTACAGCCCAATTCCAAAACGTTGGGACAGTATGTGAAACCTTAATAAACACAGAAAGCAAATTCTGTTTGACCTGTATTAAATTAAAAATTATACAAAGGCACATTTAATGTTTTACATTATAAATTTAATTCTAAATTTGATGACTGAAATGCATCCAAAAAAGCTGTTTACCACTGTCTTACAGTACCTATCCTTTGAATAGCACTTAAAGTTCAGACTGAAGACACAAACAAATCCTGATTTTGAAAGTAGAATATTTGCCATTCATCAGTTATACAAGTCTTCAGCTGTGCAATGTTACCAGTAGCAGACAGTTCTGGGCTGCAGGCAGGCCAGTCCAGCACCCACACTCTCTGATCATGCAGCCATGCTGTTGTAACACTTGCAGAATGTTTCTTGGTGTTGTCATGTTGAGAGCATCTAAAAGGCAGCATATGTTGCTCCAAAATGTATTCATTTTTAATGGTGATGTCACTGCTTTCTGTTTTGATTTGTATTTTATCTACTGTCCCAACTTTTTTGCAATTGAGTTTGTATGTGGAGGTTCTTTAAATATTAAAAAGGTTCTTCACAATTATCTCAGAATTCTTTAAAAAATGATTCTTTGATCATCGATTTAAAGGTGCTTCAGACACCAAAAGTGGTTCTTCCATAGTATCCCTCCAATCTTTCTGGTACCTTTGTTTATGAGAGTTTATTGCACCAACATACAGCCTATGTAAGAGGAACTGAATAAAATAATTCTGGTAGTGTTGGACTGCAAGAATGTAAATAAAAATATTGGTTCTGCTCAGAATAGGGTTGCCATCTCAGTCCTGTAAAATTCCTGAACTCCCGATCAATGGCTTGATTGACCTTTCATAAGAAATTAGAAATGGTATTAAAATGATAATGCTCATATTCTGGGATAAGGCATTCAAGATGGTCTAGGAAAATCTCAAGCTTGGAGTCAACTAGTTGTTTCCTGTGTTCCGTTTCTGAGTCCAGCTTCTAGTACTGGATTAAAATCATGGATCTTGTTGGAAATCACTTCAATTACAGTACTTTCCCTGGTAAAACTAATCCAGCTCAAACAGGTCATCACAGTAATTTCTTTCAGACCTCCTTAAGCTTTGATACTGTGAAGAATTTTGAGAAATTTGAGTTAAAAAAGGGCTGAACAAAATCAGAGAAAGACTGAAATGACACTGAGCTAAAGAAGATGTTTGTTTTTATTTATGACAATAAAATGCACTGGAAATCAAGTAAATAAAAATGGTCAATGCTTCAGCAGATAAATACTGTCAGAGTGCATTTTTTTATACACATTTTCCATCATTTAAGAACCAGAAACCAAGTAAATTGTTGACGGGAATGCAAGCTCATTCACTGCACGATTTCTGTTTGCTATTAGATGCTTTGATTAAATATTAATTTGGAGATGATTTAGTTCCATTTAAATTTCTGAAGGCAGAGCTTTGTGGCTGGAATAGTGCAGTGAAAAGCTTGCAGAAGACAAGGGAGGTTGAACCGCAGTTCAGCAGCGGCCTAAGGCACTGGTCAAACTTCCAATCTGCTCCGTCTGAACCTTTAACATTTCTAGCACAGAGTCAGAGCTTCACGTGTACAGTTGTTTCACCACAAGAAGTGATGGTCGGCATACAGAGCCAGTCATACTTTATTATTGGTGGAAAATGTAACATGAACAAAACAATCACAGTGAGGGGAAACAAGCATTCAGACACTTTTTTGTTATTTAGTATACCTTAGGTGCACATGTCTGCTTCAAATTTACACCCATACTGTTTCTTTGGCTTTGTACTTATAACTGAACAAAAAAGTATAAATTCATAAACAAAGTAATTGTTAAGGAAAGAACTATTCAGACACGACAAATTAATAACATTAATACTTTGTTGCCAAGCCATTGTTGGCAATTACATGTCTACAGTAAGAAGTAATTAGCTTTTTGCAGTATTGTGGTTTAAATTCCTTTTTGCAGCATCGTGGTTCCCATTACCTTTTTCTTCTTCAATTCTCCAGGGTCCCAAGGGTCCCTCTGATGGACTCACAATTTCAAAATCCTCCATAAATGTTCAGTGGGATTCGAGCCAGAAGACTGGCCAAGCAAACACCTTTAACTTTTGTTTAGAAACCAGTCTTGAGTTATTTTGGCTGCATGTTTGGAGTTGTTATCTTGCCCATCTTCTCCCCAGATTCAGTTTCTTGGCCAAAGACATTAAATTTTCTTCTAATCTGTCCCAGCGCATCACTCCATACATTTTTCCTTCCATGTAATGCCCCAGTACTGTTTGCAGAGGAGCAGCAGCATATCATGAAGCTCCCATCTCTGTACTTCACTGTGGGTGTGGTGCTCTTGGAATTATTATTATTATTATTATTACTAGGCCCTTTCAGGCACAGATTGCCCATTGGGAGTACCAGAAATTGTCCAGCCGGTAGTCTGACTTGTCAGTAAGGTTAGCACAAAAGCTGAACTAGCCATTCTGAACTGCGAAGCCACAGCCATTACTATGTTTAGTTGAGTGGCCGCTGGCTTCTCTCTAACCTTCCTTATTATTAGTCTGAGAGCATGTTGTGAAATCCTGCATGGTGCACCTGTCCAAAGATGATGAGTTGTGGTTCCGTGAACTTTGGCACTTGCATGTTATCGAACCAATTGTACCAATATATATATAAAATCTATAATTTTTTGACAGCATTGATATCTTCAACTTATTTGAAGTGGATATATATTAAGTAAACAAACAGAAACAAAAGTGTCTGAATATGTTTACCATCACTGTACAGGCTTAAAGTCTCCACATTGAATATAAGGGCCATTTTGACTAATCAAATCAATGGTTCTGAATACCGGTCCTGGAGTATCTCTGTGCTGCAAGATTTTTAAATTTGAACAGCTGCTCTTTACAGTTTGTGTACATTTTGCACTATTGTCAAGGACATTGGATGTTATCAGGACACAACGTAGCCTACATACTGTAATAATTTTAGAAAGTTTATTTCATGTAAACTTTTTTATTTGTTGTCAGATAAAGTTTGCCCTATTAAGGACTGATTTTTAGCAAAAATAAAAATGTATTTCCTTTATTACCTTGTAGCTTTTATGTTTGGTATGTTTAATCAAAAGCATAAATAAAACTGCAAATTTAAATTTTCAAAAAGTCTTCCACTTTTTGGCCAGGTGTGTCGTTAATTTCAGTTTTGATAAGGAATTGTCGTTTTGGTGCATCATTAGTGGACATAATTGCACACAGGCAATAATGTCATCAAGATTCTAGTAAAACCTCAGTCATTGGCATTTAAAAATGGCATTTTATATATATCAATAATTTTATTCATCTACTTTCTTCTTGGTTTATTTAAAAAATACGCACTCAGTGCAGCTTCAGACTGCTTGAGGGTTTCTGTGTGTGCGCATGAGTGTGGCACATGTGTGTTTGGCACGTGTGGAGTGCTGAGGTACAGAAATGCGTATGAATTGCGCACTTCTGCTCCTAGACGGACGGCCCCAGTCATTGCCTGTCGCTTCGATTCAGTGGTACGTGGTGTGCATGGTGTACTATCTTTCAGAGTCTTTCAGACTGAGGCACAATGGACGTGTTCTGCCTGTTCATTCAGAACATTAACGGCTTGAAGGAATATTCCAGCATTTTTCAACCTAATCTCAATCTGCTGCATCAGTAGCGTACAGTCAGTTACCACAGGCAATGATTTCAACACGTTTCCATGCTGAGAAAAGAACAGACATATGCTGACTCCAAAGTAGGCCTTCAGTGGTCAGGACCCCCAGAAGGACCACCACAGAGCAGGTAATATTTGGGTGGTGGATCATTCTCAGTACTGTCGTGACACTGACGTAGTGTTGGTGTGTTAGAGTATGTGTTGCACCGGTACAAGTGGATCAGACACAGCCATGATGCTGGAGTTTTAAACACTGTGTCCACTCGCTGTCTGTGTTTGTGTTAGTCATCCTCTAGTCCATCATCAGTGGTCACAGGATGCTGTTAGCTGGATAGTTTTGGTTGGTGGACTATTCTCAGTCCAGCAGTGATACTGAGGTGTTTAAAAACTCCAGCAGCACTGCTGTGTCTGATCCACTTGTACCAGCACAACACACACTAACACACCTCTTGCTATTGTGAAGGCAGAGTTATTTCCTTTTTAAAAAGGAGTGTAATTCATAGTTGTGTGAACATGCAGGGATATATTTATATCTGGATATAAAATAAACCATTGACATGACATCAAGCAACCTATCTATCTCTTCTCTCTACATCTCATAACTGTAGCCTGCTGTTTAGCTGCTTCACCCACAATCAGTGAGCTTCTGTCTTTGGTATTCTTAACTAACTACGAATGCAGTACTGGTCTGTCTCAAGGTGGCACTGTAGCAAACTGGTTCACCCAGTTGGTCCTTCTTAACATAAGAATTGTAACTATACCCAGGATACCTCTAAAAAACTTTACGTT